ATAAATAAATATATTATAGCCATTTCAAACTATAATTTTTATTTAATATAATAAGTAAGCGTAAAAAGTAACTTTTTTAAAAAAAATACCAGACCAAATTTTTCTAAATGATCCCCAAGTCGTTTTTTGATACGTGCCTACGTAAAATTCTATGGAAAGTGCGATTTTTTGGCTTGGCGAGGAACATTGATTTATTTATTTAATTCTCCAGTTGCGGGAAGTCGTGGTAGAGTTGGGAGAAATATAAACGTCTCGGACAAACGAAATAGGTCAGAATTTGTCAGTGTCACAGGGTCTCATGCTCAAAAGTTCTTTAAATTAATCGTGGGATACTGTTTTCTCTCCGGTGGAAAGAAAAAGGAAAAAAAAAGGAAAAGGGAAACTTAAAAAAAAACAATTATAGAACCCATATAGGTGTATCTTCCCTGAAATTTGGGGTGTCATACTTTCAGAGGAATTTCTAAAAATATACGTGTCCTTCGTATCTTCTCTCTTTCCTAATTTAATCTAATCTAATTTAATCTAAGTCTACCTCGACCCCTTTTAACTCCTGTTTCTGCTTCTAATATGTTTCTAACTGGCCTTTCATGACTCTCATTATTTCTCATTGAATTTAATTTTAATATCTTTACTATTCCTTCAATCCTGAGTTATCTGACTTCCTGGATGTCGAAAGTCTGATAAATTTTTGTTTTTGACGCATTTAAACAAATACGTATTTGTGATAAGAAATCCTCCTGTTATCATTTTGTATGTAGCTGCCTTTTGTTTTGCGAAAATTGACCTCTCCTTTGTTTTTCCTTTTTCTAGCGGGGAATTTTGAAAACAGACGTAGATTGAATTCAATTTTTCTTTGTGTTATGTATAAAGCGAATCGAAGGGGCGTGACAGCAACACGATATTACTTTTGCAATGTGCCAGTCTAGTTTGATGAACATTGAACGTGATATGAAAGTATCTACAATGTGTAGGTACTTATGCACGTATGTATGTGTGCATACATATGTATATACGAAGAAGAAAATTTTTCATTCGGCGTATCACTTTCGTATTTTGTTCTCATTTTTATTATTATTATAAAACACGTCTATTCCAGCTGTTGCCGAAGCGTGTTTAATATTTTTACACTATTCCTACTGTATCTCTAAGCAAAAAGATACAAACTTTTGTTACGTTACACGTATTAGGCATTGTCATAAACACTTTGTAGCAAGGAATTTTCATTACTTTTGAGAAAATGAATTTTTTTGAAAAACGCAACTTATTGACAGGGTTCATTCCAGAACCTACATTTGATCATCATCATAAGGTCGTCAGTCCTAAGACTGGTTGGACACGCACATCCATTCCTTCCTATCCTGAGCTAATTTTCGCATTCCCTTAAAACTAGAACAACCCACATCATTAACTATTTGCGAACAGTAATCTAATCTAGGTCTATCTCTACCCTTCCTAACTCCCGTTTGTGCCTTTAATATGCCTTAGAAAACTTAATTTTCCCCTATCAAGAGTTGCCCCTGGATTTGCCTTTATTCTTCCAAATACTAGGTGAGTGGCGGCGTGAAACATTTCATTTTCGTTTTTGAAAAGAATCATTGGTTTACTTCAAAAAAGGAACTTAGAATTTATTTTCAGTTAAATATAGCGAATTACTTGTTTAGTTTATTTTACGTTTGATATTACAGCATTTTATTGTTTGGATTTAAACATATAAAGTGTTTTCTTGAACAATAACCATACCATACATCAGGTTTTAAAAATGCTACAATGATGAGAAGAGTTGAAACAAGAGTTAAAATGAAATGCTGAAGAAGATACAATAAAGCAGAGAAACGTTCAACGAAATTTCCATTGTTTTCTTCAATTACTATTTTGGTCAAATTCCCTATGATTTACGCCAAAAAATAAAAATTAATAATGATGGAATTAATTTCTATTTTTGCAATAAACTTTTCCTTTTATTAACAAGGTGCATGGGGTTATATCTATATATAAAACATCCAAAAACTATCTAGAGTTATCTATAATTGTTTTATAATTCTATTTCGTGACTTTAACTTAAATTTCTACTTAACTATATCGTTTTTGTTAACAGATCCTATAGTAGTTGGCAAAGGACCATATACCAATTTAGACTAATCTTCATGGCCTTTTGCACGCATTCGAATTTAGAAGTTAAAGCATACAATAAAATCTGTGCATTACTATTGAAATAATCAAAACTATTTACTAAGTAAATGGACGTGTTGCAGTGCCAAAATTTTATGTGAATATACTTAATTTCGTGTGTGCTTTAGCCCTAAAAGGATTAATCTTGTTATCTACTGCATAATTTACGTAGGTGGTTTAATTGTGCTAAGTACAGTAAATGATAACCTACCTTCGAAAGTATAGTAAATGATATAGTAATACCACTAATTATAATTCGTAATTTCGTGTTTAATTTTGTTAATTTCACAAATGTGTTTGGTAAGACAGAGGAATAAGGTTTCTGATGCATATTTATGGCTGTGTTGGGGTAACAGCGCCAATTAACGTAATTTGGAAGTACAACCCTAACATGATAGGGTGGATATGAGTACCTACGTTGGAAAAGTTGACATTTACAACCCTGTAATCTAAGATTCTATTTCCGACGACCCGGGTCTATTTGTTCATATATACAGGGTGATCGCTCATGTAAGAGGTACGTACTTAAAGGGCTCGTTCTGATTTTCTGATATCGATACGTGTTTGAAAAACAGAAGCATATAATTAAATGGTTAATCATCTAGTCCATGATTGATTATTTTTGTTGTTGTAGATAGTGACGTTTGACGTTTAGGTTAAGATTTGATGATTCCTGATTTTTTCCAACCATGACAATTTAAAACACCGAATCAGAATGTTAAAAAACTAACGGCACGCTTGTAACCCACCCCCACAAATTCGACAAATATGCCAACGGTTAGCAGACTAGACAAATTGTACAAAAAAATGATCTTCCACAAGTTTTTCACAAGAGGGTGGGGCGATCCCGATTGTTACGACAAATTTTTTGAATTCCGTAAGGTCATTTGCAAAAGAGAAGATGCCTACAAGCTAATACCCATTGATTATCCCGTTAATATCCATCACGAAGAGATTGAATCCGAATATCACATTATCAACGGTAGCTTTAAGACCCCATTGGTGTCTTTTATCCCAGAAGTGGTACCAAAGGTTGTCGAGAACGCTTATTTTCAATTAATCATTCCGAAAAAGTGGAATTCCGAATTCAAACCCATTTGTATACATTACGCTGCTACCGGGGATCATTTTTTCTGGCGTCGCCGAAATATAATGGCAAAACCCCTTTTGAAATCCGACATAGGCTCGATAATTTTGGAGAATCCTTATTACGGATTGAGGAAACCCAAAGATCAGTTTCGTTCCAGCCTTCATTACGTTTCGGACATTCTTGTGATGGGCGGTTGTCTGATTTTGGAGAGTTTGGTGTTACTTCACTGGTGCGAAAAAATGGGTTTCGGACCACTAGGACTGACAGGACTGTCAATGGGGGGTCATATGGCATCGTTAGGAGCCAGCAACTGGCCCAAACCGTTGGTTCTCGTTCCCTGTCTGTCCTGGTCGACAGGGTCATCTGTTTTCACAGACGGCGTCCTTAGTGAAGCTATTGACTGGGACCTGCTGCAAAGACAATACTGTGCCAATAGCAAATTCTGCGAAGTCTTGTCCAAACAGCTGAGAATTGTTGATGACCCTTTTACAAAACCAAATTGTCACGTAGATTTCAGTACAAAACCGTCAGAACTCCTCAACACTCCTCACGATATGGTACAGCTTTTAAATCATAGAAAACCAGAAGTTCCTTACTATTCTAGTAATTCGACTAGAGTAAAGCAAAGGATATCAATCAATTGGCCGTTTTACAACCAGAAGATTTCGTATGCAGCCCTCAAAGAGTCTTTTAATGTGAAAGAGAAAAATCGCGAAGCGGTTTGGTTTATGATAGGCGTGATGGATGAATTTACGCATTTGAAAAATTATTCTGCTCCATTTGACACGTCATTAGTGATAGGTAAGTTTCAGTGGGGAGAGAGATTGTAAATGCACGAAATTTTGTAAAAAGAATACTGATAAGCGAAATTGCTGCTCTTGGTTTTGGTTTTGCGAAAATACAAGATCAAAAATTGTCTTTATACTAGCAAGGTTAAGGCCAAGACCGAACAAACAATACCAAGACTAAACGAAGAAGATTAAGATTAAATGATCAAGACCAAGATTTAACACCAAGACCGACACTATACCAGCAACAACAAGACATGAAGACCATAACTAAAAGTATTTGAGCAAGACCAAAATCAAGACCGAATAAGTAAGACCAAGACCAATATCAAGACTGGGACAGTTTTGGTCTTACTGTTGCTTTGCTCATTACTAAAAAAGAAATATTTCTGTAGAAAACTTAAATTAAGAGATGAATTCTAACTCTACAAGTAGAGTGTATATAAATACATTCATGAAAGTTACTTAGAGAAACGAAAGTACAAGGTAATTTTCGCTGGCATTTCAACGATTTGAATAAGTCGTCGAATGCACTTAAACTTCAGTTAAAATATCTTTGAAACTACCTATTGTTAACTAAATTATATTTACGTATGTACATATTTTGCTCCTTTACGAATAAGAGCCTCAAGTTCCAAAGTTCGCATCGTTATCTTATTCTGTGCGCGCCTTTGAATTCATAATGATGAGCTCAATAATAATATAATTCAAAAGCTAGAAGTTCATGTAAAACGAACAAAAAAAAAACAAAGCAGGCACGCTAAACAATCAAGTGTGAAAATTGTTTTGTGTTCGTGTTTTGTTATTTTTTTAGAATGAGACAATTGCCGCCGTTTTCCTCAGCTGTCAAATCCATTCTTGTATTTTAGCCATCTGTGCAAAAAGCGATGGATATGTCCCGAGAGACGGCTGTTCCCGATTGGAGGACTTGTGGCCTGGAGCAACTGTACGCTATCTGGATACGGGTCATGTTGGCGCTCACATATGGTATGGAAAATCATTCCGGCAAGCCATTACAGACGCTTTCGAGAAAGTCAAAAGAAAAATCAGAACCATGTCGAAGGAAGCAATCTAACTCTTCATTTTGTTTTTGTTTTCTAATCTAAGATTAAACTTGAAGGCGTTTTGTCTTGTTTATGGAATAAAAATTTATCTATTTTATGTAATATGCAACAAAAATCAATAATAAATGAAGTTTTTAATACTCAAGGCCTTTTACAATCATTTTACCAAAAACACTTTTAATAAAATTAATTACTTTTTTCTTTAATAAACGTCCCATTTATTTCTAGCTTTGTTCGTAAATGGAAAATTAATTTAAAAGGTCTCTGAGCAAGGAATAATTGAGAGAGCGTAGAAGTAGTTCGAACACAATTTAATACCAATTTCGAATCCATTCTTTTCGCCTTTTGTAAGAAGATCAGTTAAGTTTTTAATTGAACATGTTCTGATTTGGACAGGTGCTGTCGGAACGGGTAGAAATTGAAAGGAAACTGCTGTAGGTATTCCCAGTAGAAGAAAGATAAAGGAATTATTTTTTTTTTGTGTTAACATGAACGGTTTTTCATAACACGCCTTTCAATAAACTAAGTTTAAATACCTTTAATTTATTTGACATTTAACAATTCATTTGTTCTTGATAATAATTGAAAAAGTGTAACATCAACAGCAACAAAAATAATTTTGTCTTCTAAGTCTATGGATCATTGATCGTTTTTTATTAACATCTGCAAACTCAATGTTGACAATGAAAACTGTTTACTGTTTTAATCATTTGTTATTAAACAGTTGAAAATGCATCTGTAACAATGAAATTTGCTCGAATGCCAATTTTTCGGGACTTACAAATTATGTAGATAACAATTTATATCCCGGCGCCTCCACCAAAATTGTAGAAATCCGAAAAAGTAAAATGAGTTTATCAAATCGTTATTAAAAAATCTTAAAATAAAGTAGACATCTAATATACAATTGCATATTTTAATAAGAAATATATTTATTATTTTGCCATTGGATAATTGATAAATTTGCTGTTGTATATTCAATTTTTGTTTTGTTTCATATGTTAAAGGTCAACGTGTGTTACACCCACACGCCCTTTTCTAATAATTTTCCGTCCAACCACATCAATGTAGAGACATATACATATACATAATGTCGTAACTTGATTCCGAATGCTATTTTTTATCCGCGACCCTCGCCATTCGTCCATGCNAAGACGCGGTTAGAATTCGGAAATCCAGTGTTCTCATGACTCCTCTAATTGTTCACTTATGACGCCACCATGATTCGTCATGGTAATTGTATCAATAAGACGCGGTTAGAATTCGGAAATCCAGTGTTCTCATGACTCCTCTAATTGTTCACTTATGACGCCACCATGATTCGTCATGGTAATTGTATCAATAAGACGCGGTTAGAATTCGGAAATCCAGTGTTCTCATGACTCCTCTAATTGTTCACTTATGACGCCACCATGATTCGTCATGGTAATTGTATCAATAAGACGCGGTTAGAATTCGGAAATCCAGTGTTCTCATGACTCCTCTAATTGTTCACTTATGACGCCACCATGATTCGTCATGGTAATTGTATCAATAAGACGCGGTTAGAATTCGGAAATCCAGTGTTCTCATGACTCCTCTAATTGTTCACTTATGACGCCACCATGATTCGTCATGGTAATTGTATCAATAAGACGCGGTTAGAATTCGGAAATCCAGTGTTCTCATGACTCCTCTAATTGTTCACTTATGACGCCACCATGATTCGTCATGGTAATTGTATCAATAAGACGCGGTTAGAATTCGGAAATCCAGTGTTCTCATGACTCCTCTAATTGTTCACTTATGACGCCACCATGATTCGTCATGGTAATTGTATCAATAAGACGCGGTTAGAATTCGGAAATCCAGTGTTCTCATGACTCCTCTAATTGTTCACTTATGACGCCACCATGATTCGTCATGGTAATTGTATCAATAAGACGCGGTTAGAATTCGGAAATCCAGTGTTCTCATGACTCCTCTAATTGTTCACTTATGACGCCACCATGATTCGTCATGGTAATTGTATCAATAAGACGCGGTTAGAATTCGGAAATCCAGTGTTCTCATGACTCCTCTAATTGTTCACTTATGACGCCACCATGATTCGTCATGGTAATTGTATCAATAAGACGCGGTTAGAATTCGGAAATCCAGTGTTCTCATGACTCCTCTAATTGTTCACTTATGACGCCACCATGATTCGTCATGGTAATTGTATCAATAAGACGCGGTTAGAATTCGGAAATCCAGTGTTCTCATGACTCCTCTAATTGTTCACTTATGACGCCACCATGATTCGTCATGGTAATTGTATCAATAAGACGCGGTTAGAATTCGGAAATCCAGTGTTCTCATGACTCCTCTAATTGTTCACTTATGACGCCACCATGATTCGTCATGGTAATTGTATCAATAAGACGCGGTTAGAATTCGGAAATCCAGTGTTCTCATGACTCCTCTAATTGTTCACTTATGACGCCACCATGATTCGTCATGGTAATTGTATCAATAAGACGCGGTTAGAATTCGGAAATCCAGTGTTCTCATGACTCCTCTAATTGTTCACTTATGACGCCACCATGATTCGTCATGGTAATTGTATCAATAAGACGCGGTTAGAATTCGGAAATCCAGTGTTCTCATGACTCCTCTAATTGTTCACTTATGACGCCACCATGATTCGTCATGGTAATTGTATCAATAAGACGCGGTTAGAATTCGGAAATCCAGTGTTCTCATGACTCCTCTAATTGTTCACTTATGACGCCACCATGATTCGTCATGGTAATTGTATCAATAAGACGCGGTTAGAATTCGGAAATCCAGTGTTCTCATGACTCCTCTAATTGTTCACTTATGACGCCACCATGATTCGTCATGGTAATTGTATCAATAAGACGCGGTTAGAATTCGGAAATCCAGTGTTCTCATGACTCCTCTAATTGTTCACTTATGACGCCACCATGATTCGTCATGGTAATTGTATCAATAAGACGCGGTTAGAATTCGGAAATCCAGTGTTCTCATGACTCCTCTAATTGTTCACTTATGACGCCACCATGATTCGTCATGGTAATTGTATCAATAAGACGCGGTTAGAATTCGGAAATCCAGTGTTCTCATGACTCCTCTAATTGTTCACTTATGACGCCACCATGATTCGTCATGGTAATTGTATCAATAAGACGCGGTTAGAATTCGGAAATCCAGTGTTCTCATGACTCCTCTAATTGTTCACTTATGACGCCACCATGATTCGTCATGGTAATTGTATCAATAAGACGCGGTTAGAATTCGGAAATCCAGTGTTCTCATGACTCCTCTAATTGTTCACTTATGACGCCACCATGATTCGTCATGGTAATTGTATCAATAAGACGCGGTTAGAATTCGGAAATCCAGTGTTCTCATGACTCCTCTAATTGTTCACTTATGACGCCACCATGATTCGTCATGGTAATTGTATCAATAAGACGCGGTTAGAATTCGGAAATCCAGTGTTCTCATGACTCCTCTAATTGTTCACTTATGACGCCACCATGATTCGTCATGGTAATTGTATCAATAAGACGCGGTTAGAATTCGGAAATCCAGTGTTCTCATGACTCCTCTAATTGTTCACTTATGACGCCACCATGATTCGTCATGGTAATTGTATCAATAAGACGCGGTTAGAATTCGGAAATCCAGTGTTCTCATGACTCCTCTAATTGTTCACTTATGACGCCACCATGATTCGTCATGGTAATTGTATCAATAAGACGCGGTTAGAATTCGGAAATCCAGTGTTCTCATGACTCCTCTAATTGTTCACTTATGACGCCACCATGATTCGTCATGGTAATTGTATCAATAAGACGCGGTTAGAATTCGGAAATCCAGTGTTCTCATGACTCCTCTAATTGTTCACTTATGACGCCACCATGATTCGTCATGGTAATTGTATCAATAAGACGCGGTTAGAATTCGGAAATCCAGTGTTCTCATGACTCCTCTAATTGTTCACTTATGACGCCACCATGATTCGTCATGGTAATTGTATCAATAAGACGCGGTTAGAATTCGGAAATCCAGTGTTCTCATGACTCCTCTAATTGTTCACTTATGACGCCACCATGATTCGTCATGGTAATTGTATCAATAAGACGCGGTTAGAATTCGGAAATCCAGTGTTCTCATGACTCCTCTAATTGTTCACTTATGACGCCACCATGATTCGTCATGGTAATTGTATCAATAAGACGCGGTTAGAATTCGGAAATCCAGTGTTCTCATGACTCCTCTAATTGTTCACTTATGACGCCACCATGATTCGTCATGGTAATTGTATCAATAAGACGCGGTTAGAATTCGGAAATCCAGTGTTCTCATGACTCCTCTAATTGTTCACTTATGACGCCACCATGATTCGTCATGGTAATTGTATCAATAAGACGCGGTTAGAATTCGGAAATCCAGTGTTCTCATGACTCCTCTAATTGTTCACTTATGACGCCACCATGATTCGTCATGGTAATTGTATCAATAAGACGCGGTTAGAATTCGGAAATCCAGTGTTCTCATGACTCCTCTAATTGTTCACTTATGACGCCACCATGATTCGTCATGGTAATTGTATCAATAAGACGCGGTTAGAATTCGGAAATCCAGTGTTCTCATGACTCCTCTAATTGTTCACTTATGACGCCACCATGATTCGTCATGGTAATTGTATCAATAAGACGCGGTTAGAATTCGGAAATCCAGTGTTCTCATGACTCCTCTAATTGTTCACTTATGACGCCACCATGATTCGTCATGGTAATTGTATCAATAAGACGCGGTTAGAATTCGGAAATCCAGTGTTCTCATGACTCCTCTAATTGTTCACTTATGACGCCACCATGATTCGTCATGGTAATTGTATCAATAAGACGCGGTTAGAATTCGGAAATCCAGTGTTCTCATGACTCCTCTAATTGTTCACTTATGACGCCACCATGATTCGTCATGGTAATTGTATCAATAAGACGCGGTTAGAATTCGGAAATCCAGTGTTCTCATGACTCCTCTAATTGTTCACTTATGACGCCACCATGATTCGTCATGGTAATTGTATCAATAAGACGCGGTTAGAATTCGGAAATCCAGTGTTCTCATGACTCCTCTAATTGTTCACTTATGACGCCACCATGATTCGTCATGGTAATTGTATCAATAAGACGCGGTTAGAATTCGGAAATCCAGTGTTCTCATGACTCCTCTAATTGTTCACTTATGACGCCACCATGATTCGTCATGGTAATTGTATCAATAAGACGCGGTTAGAATTCGGAAATCCAGTGTTCTCATGACTCCTCTAATTGTTCACTTATGACGCCACCATGATTCGTCATGGTAATTGTATCAATAAGACGCGGTTAGAATTCGGAAATCCAGTGTTCTCATGACTCCTCTAATTGTTCACTTATGACGCCACCATGATTCGTCATGGTAATTGTATCAATAAGACGCGGTTAGAATTCGGAAATCCAGTGTTCTCATGACTCCTCTAATTGTTCACTTATGACGCCACCATGATTCGTCATGGTAATTGTATCAATAAGACGCGGTTAGAATTCGGAAATCCAGTGTTCTCATGACTCCTCTAATTGTTCACTTATGACGCCACCATGATTCGTCATGGTAATTGTATCAATAAGACGCGGTTAGAATTCGGAAATCCAGTGTTCTCATGACTCCTCTAATTGTTCACTTATGACGCCACCATGATTCGTCATGGTAATTGTATCAATAAGACGCGGTTAGAATTCGGAAATCCAGTGTTCTCATGACTCCTCTAATTGTTCACTTATGACGCCACCATGATTCGTCATGGTAATTGTATCAATAAGACGCGGTTAGAATTCGGAAATCCAGTGTTCTCATGACTCCTCTAATTGTTCACTTATGACGCCACCATGATTCGTCATGGTAATTGTATCAATAAGACGCGGTTAGAATTCGGAAATCCAGTGTTCTCATGACTCCTCTAATTGTTCACTTATGACGCCACCATGATTCGTCATGGTAATTGTATCAATAAGACGCGGTTAGAATTCGGAAATCCAGTGTTCTCATGACTCCTCTAATTGTTCACTTATGACGCCACCATGATTCGTCATGGTAATTGTATCAATAAGACGCGGTTAGAATTCGGAAATCCAGTGTTCTCATGACTCCTCTAATTGTTCACTTATGACGCCACCATGATTCGTCATGGTAATTGTATCAATAAGACGCGGTTAGAATTCGGAAATCCAGTGTTCTCATGACTCCTCTAATTGTTCACTTATGACGCCACCATGATTCGTCATGGTAATTGTATCAATAAGACGCGGTTAGAATTCGGAAATCCAGTGTTCTCATGACTCCTCTAATTGTTCACTTATGACGCCACCATGATTCGTCATGGTAATTGTATCAATAAGACGCGGTTAGAATTCGGAAATCCAGTGTTCTCATGACTCCTCTAATTGTTCACTTATGACGCCACCATGATTCGTCATGGTAATTGTATCAATAAGACGCGGTTAGAATTCGGAAATCCAGTGTTCTCATGACTCCTCTAATTGTTCACTTATGACGCCACCATGATTCGTCATGGTAATTGTATCAATAAGACGCGGTTAGAATTCGGAAATCCAGTGTTCTCATGACTCCTCTAATTGTTCACTTATGACGCCACCATGATTCGTCATGGTAATTGTATCAATAAGACGCGGTTAGAATTCGGAAATCCAGTGTTCTCATGACTCCTCTAATTGTTCACTTATGACGCCACCATGATTCGTCATGGTAATTGTATCAATAAGACGCGGTTAGAATTCGGAAATCCAGTGTTCTCATGACTCCTCTAATTGTTCACTTATGACGCCACCATGATTCGTCATGGTAATTGTATCAATAAGACGCGGTTAGAATTCGGAAATCCAGTGTTCTCATGACTCCTCTAATTGTTCACTTATGACGCCACCATGATTCGTCATGGTAATTGTATCAATAAGACGCGGTTAGAATTCGGAAATCCAGTGTTCTCATGACTCCTCTAATTGTTCACTTATGACGCCACCATGATTCGTCATGGTAATTGTATCAATAAGACGCGGTTAGAATTCGGAAATCCAGTGTTCTCATGACTCCTCTAATTGTTCACTTATGACTCCACTATGATACATCATGGGAATTTCATCAGTAAGATGTGGTTAGAATTCGGAAATTCAGTTTCTTCATGGCTTTTCAAAGTGTCCACTTATGACGCCACCATGATCCGTCATGGGGATTGCATCAATAAGACGCAGTTAGAATTCCTAAAACCAGTTTTCTCATGACTTCTCAAAGTGCTCACTTATGACGTCACAATGATCCGTCATGGGGATTGCATCAATAAGACGCAGTTAGAATTCCGAAAACCAGTTTTCTAATAACTTCTCAAAGTGTTCACTTATGACGCCACCATGATACGTCATGGGGATTTTATCTATAAGAAACATATTCTATCATTGTAAAATTAGTCTCTACGAAGAGCCCTTTTATTTTATTGGAATAATATGTCTACTACGTCCACCTAAACTTTATCTCTTTAAAATACAGGGTAGTATTAAACTGTAAGTTGATCTGTGGCACTGCTTCGGTCCATCAATAGTATTCTTCTTCGTGGTTTCAGGCTGGATGACATGTGTTGTATGTAAACGAATGTTTGTGTGCGGGTGTTGTTTTTGAATCTAGTCAGTTCTCAGTTCAGTGTTGCTGCGCACTGTTCATCAGTCTCAGATTCAGAGTGGTTGCAACAACCAACAAGAAAGCAAGGAAGCAGGCGAAGTCCTCGCTTTTTGTATTTGTCGCGCTTGTCGCTCGCTGTCGCGTCACACCGTATCGCTTTACCGCCTCTTCCCGTTCTCGGTCGCTCTTTCTCTTTCTCTCGACGACCGACGACGAGTGATCAATAGACGCTCTTTTCGTGCGCTGCTCCCGATCGTCCATCCAGAGCCAGCCAGCCACCAACTCACATATATACACACACACATACATAACAACACCACGCCGTCGCTACTGCCGCCGCCGCCGCCGCAAGCACCGCGTCGTTTTCGCTCGCTCAATTCGTCCGTCGCAATCTACTAGTCGCCGTCCGTCGTCGTCGGCTTCTGTGAGCGTTTCCACATTGTTGTTGTAGTAGCTCTGCTGGTTGTTCTCTTGTTATTATCGCCCGAATTCTCTTCTCTTCTATTACCTACCACTTAACTTCGACGCCGTTTCCCTACCTGCCCGTCTGTGTAATACTGCCGGATACAAAGGTAAGAGTAGTTTTAGAATCTTTTTTCATGACGATGTAAGATGATGATAATTGTGATGCTTTCTGATGTTGAATCCAGGAAAAATTTTGAAAAAAAAAATTCGTTTGATTCGGGATTATTACTTATTCTTTTAGCCGATTTTTTTGAAAACAGGCCAAAGGAAAATCAGTCATCATAAACATAATTAATGCTCTTTTATGGTATGTTATATATATGCCACAGTTTTGGAAATGTGTTAAAAACCGCGACGAAAAAAAAATTTATCAGGCGCTATGAACAAGCTTAGAGGAGATTTTGATTACTTCTTTAACAGGATAAGTAGGAACTCATTTTCAGTAACTATTTAATTGAATATTTTATCCGAATTTCATTCAATAAGACGAAATTAATTTTAATTAAATAGAGAAGTGTCGAGATAGTCCAAAATCGGTCCCCTTAAAACATTAGATCACATCTCCTAATGGTCTTTTAATTACCTCCTCCTATGTGTAGGTTTATATTATATTGGTTATCTATTTACAAAATTTTAAAATTTCATAATAAAAAATTAACATATTATAGGTACCTACTTTTTGTCAAAAGACAATTTTTAGTATGATTACATGAATACACGTTTTACGTAAAATCTACACATTGCAGTGTAAAACATGCATAAGCACAATAATTTGTACATATTTAACTGTTATTATCTCTATGTTTCCTTTTTAATGCTTATCAGGGACTGAGTGTAGGAGCCTGCATGCATCATACGTAATAATCTAAGAATATTTCTGCTGGGTACATACATCTACTAGACAACAAAAAACTGGACCAATCAAGTTACACTTCTCTATAATTTTGAGAAGTGAAAATCCTTATAAATACCTATCTCTGAAGTTATAATGAAAGATAGTTAAAAGCTTAATAGATTTTGAAACAAAAGAGAAAATGATTTAATAATCACAGCCGTAGTTTTATTTAATTAGCCTTGAAAAAGCTTAACAATTTAGGCGAAACGTTGCTTGTGGTTTTTTAAATAAAATAATTTAAATCCCAGTATTGCTTTGATCAAAAAGGGAAGAAGATAATGTTCCTGGCAGAATTCTTATTCAAAATTGTCCAATTTATTTAATTTTTTTTACATTTCAAGTGTCAAAAAACTAAAAACATGTGGATCAGTTTAATACGTAACGATGTCACATATGTATTCATACTTAAAATAATAACGTTTCATGCATTTCACCTGTGAACATTAATTTAGTGGTGCTGCAATATCAGCGGTTTTTTGTTCACAACTGCCACCATAAACATTTTGCACACAATAATGAATACATTAACAATACATATACATGTGTATATTATACCTCATGCCTCTGTATGGACGCCATGGAAACGCTCTGAGCAGTGCTGTTAAATTGAATTTTTTTTAATAAAAAAGCTCACGAAAATCGCCAAACGATGTCACGTTAATTACACATGCGGGTCATGTGCCAGGCAAACCTTTTCAAAATCAGTTTATTATTTTTTTTAACATCTGTCCGTGTAACAAACCGTCTGTTTCATTAGTGAAAAGGGGATATTGAAATTACCTAGGTGCTTTGCAGTTTTCGTATTTTTTTAACGATTTTTCCATTTCTGTTGAATCATACAGCATAATATATTATGGAAAAGGAAAAGTGATCGAAATGCTTCTGAAAAATTATGAGGGAAATGAAAGAGCTATATCTTCAACATCATCATTAGGTCTTCAGCCCTAAGACTGGTTGGACACGCACTTCCATTCTGAGCTAATCTTTGTGTTTCCGTAAAACCAGAACATATCCCATATCCTTAACTATTTGCGAACACTAATCTAAAACAGGTTAGAAGCATTCGAAATGTGGTATTACAGGCGAATGATGAGGATACCGTGGATAGAGAAGGTTGGAAATCAAGAGATATTAGAAAGAATAGAATACAGGACTCTATGGAAGTCAATAAGAAATAGGCTAGATAGGAGATAGGACACCTTCTTAGGCATGAAGGACTAGTTAGAGATATATTAGAGGCAGAAACGGAAGTTAGGAGGGGTAGGGGTAGACCAAGTTTAGACTACTGTTCGCAAATAGTTAAGGATATGGGTTATTCTAGTTTTAGGAAAATGCGAAGATTAGCTCGGGATAAGAAGGAATGGAGATGCGTGTCCAACCAGTCTTAGGACTGACGATCTTATAATGATGATGAACTTAATCTAGGTCTCTTCTCAACTACTGTTTCTTCCTCTAATATGTCCCTGACTAGACCTTCGTGCCTGAGAAGGTGTCATACCAACCTATCTCGCCTATTTCTCTTATTCTTTCTAATGTCTCTTCATTTCCAACCTTCTCTATCCACGATATCCTCATCATTCGCCGATAACACCGTAGCGCCCACCACGTAAAACATTTAGATCTTATACATGTGTGGTTTTTGGGAAATTCTCCTTTATTAACGAATTCAGAAAAATTTAATTGAAATCACCCTTTTGGCTTATTGTTTTATTCAATTGAACAACTAAAAAACCTTGAATTGTATTAATTCAAAGTAAAACATGTGTTGTATTAATTAATAATAATTAATATGTAATTATTTCATTGATAAAACTGTTACGTTTCAAACAGGTGAAAGAGATGATAAAGTGATGCATCAAAAGGCCTGAATTTTTGTTATTGTTATATTTCCACACATTATGAATGTGCTAAGGTTTAGTGACCTCATTGTGTTTTAAAGTTAGCGAGGACAGCCCGTGATAACACTTCACAATTGGCATTGTTTACAATTTTGTTTATCACCATTGCAGTTTGATCATCACCAAACGCCAGATAGGATACCATATACTAACATTATTTGCTTGAAGTTTTGTGACTCTTGCATTTATTGTAACATTATTTTATATTTTTTTAAAGTAAGAGATCGTTTTCAAATTATTGTAACAAAGAGACAACTGAAAATGTTTGCTCAAAAAAAAGTTACGGCAAAAACTCTTTATGTCTATTGGGATAAACAATTGACAATATTTCACTAACAAATTGACCAATTCANTTAAATAAAGTATTTCTGCGTACTTTATGTGTCTTGTAAAGTATAACGTACGCACAGTCGAAACAGAGTACAATACTTTATAATAAAGTACGGGTGGCAACCCTAATGGTAACTCTTGAAAATTGTAACGCAAAGAACAGGAAAAATATCAAATTTTAAAGAAACAATCATCCTACTAACTATGTATATAATTGCCGTTCTTCACAGATACCTACGAACCATAATGCAATATGCGAAGAAGTCAACGTTTTCATAACAGAATAATTGTCGTATGACCATTACTCATACAACTGCAACCTAATTTGATTTAAATTATTTAAGTTCATTACACTGACTCAGTATGTGCTCGTTGAAAGATAGCGGAAAAAACAAAGCGTTTGCCAGAAAAACTAGGCCGAATTTATGAAAATGTCTTGCTATTATTAAATTACCTAATTATCATAATTACCTCCAGCATCAACGTCTAATGAATTCCCTAATTATAACTGTACTCGCATGTAAATTATAATACGCTTCTGTAGATGACAAAAAAGTATTAAGACGATGATGGCTAAATTAAAAAACCATCCAGAATGTTTCTAGGTATATTGGACAGAATTTTCTGTGACATGTTTGTATACAGTACACGCACTTTAACGTGACACAAAAGCAATAAAAGTAGGGCGATTGGTGTTGATATAGTTAGAACGATCAAAATTGGCAAAGTTTGCAATAAATTATCTATGAGAGAGGACGTATCTTCTATCTTGTTTGGGTTTCGATAAAAGAGAAGGCACAAGTGGCTAATAACTATAGACCACGAGAAAGGAATAGCTATATTCACAGCTTACAGCAACTGCAAATGTTCAAAAACAGTATTACCATTTTCGACAAAGCTCACTTCACACCTTTACAATTATTGTTTAGCCTGATCGGACTGGTGAAAGGGCCTACAGACCTTTGTAAAAGCGTCTTCAGGTTTAATTCTTATGTGCCATGTTAAACCGCCTTAATGATACATTAGTTTAAGTCATACATCTCTATACCAACTGTAAAATTGCTGAGATATCTGTACGAGTCAATCAAAAAGCAATAGCCATTCCTACCAATTTGAATCAACACATTTAATAAAAAATTAAGAGAACTTTCTACCTGCTGGTCAGTGAATATTATTATTATTAGCAGTCTCGAGAAGTATATTTATAGTATGTATGTATATTGTATCCCCTGGGAGAGATATTTGTCTCACGTTTCAAACGGCTAAAAGTAATGGACAGCCCAGGAATCCTGCTGCTAAGCATGTGGCGTATTTGGCTGGAGACACGTGTGCGTGAATTGACACCCTCGCAGTTGGTGGCACTATTATCTCGGTTGGCCTTACCCAATTCTGTCGTCCGTTTCATACAGCCCAAAGCGAAGGAAGTACTGTGTACCTATGTCAAGCTATACCGTATCTATCGGTCGCAGTTGCCAAGTAGAAAATTGCAAAAAAGTATGACAATTTGATCGTCATCATAAGGTCGTCAGTCTTAAGACTGGTTGGACACGTATCTCCACTCTTTCCTATTCTGAGCTAATCTTCGCTTTTCCCTAAAACTAGAACATCCCACATCCTTAACTATTTGCGAACAGTAATCTAACCTAGGTCTACCTCTACCCCTCCTAACTCCTGTTTCTGCCTCTAATACGTCTCTGACTAGACCTTCATGCCTGAGAAGGTGTCCTACTAACCCATCTCGTCTATTTCTTATTGACTTCCATAGAGTCCTCTGTTCTCCTATTCTTCCTAATAACCCTTCATTTCTAACCTTCTCTATCCACGGTATGCTCATCATTCGCCTGTGACACCACATTTCGAACGTTTCTAACCTTTTCTTTTCCGCCGCGCCCATCGTCCATATTTCGCACTCGTACAACGCCGCGCTCCAAACATACATCTTTAACAACCTTTTTCGAGTTTCTAAATTAACCGTTCGCGAGCA